TGTGGTCTTTGATCTTCATCAGTAAATATTTTAAGTCCTCTTTGTATGATAAGTACTTGGTTTGTATGGGATGGTTAAGAAAGGTCAAAGATAAAAGGGTTCTTTTCCTTTTTTGCCTATGAAGTTGTTGGGTTTTTTTGTTTTGTTTTTGTTGTTGTTGTTGTTGTTTTTGCCTGTTTGATATATGTGTGAAACAATGTTGTCCAACAATAAACTGGAATTTTTTTAAAAAATAAAAAATCTGAAACGGTAGTTAGAGAAGACAGAGTACTATAATAAATGTGCAAAGACTTGGAGTTAGGAAACCAAAAGGGAGGAATAGATCAGCAGTTCTCAAGCTAAAAGAAATGAAGGAAAAATTCAAGCCTTGACTTACAGTATCGAAGGATTCTATTGGCAAAATATTGAACAATGCAGGAGGTATCCAAAGAAGACAGAAGGAATACACAGAGTTACTGCACCAAAAAGAACCAGCCAGTGCTCAACCATTTCAAGAGAAGGCGTATGATCGAGAATTGCTGGTTCTGAAGGAAAAAGTCCAAGCTTCATTCAAGGCACCGGTGAAAAACAAGGCTCCAGGAATTGTGGGCATACAAATAGAAAATCTTTCAACGAACTGATGTAGCACTGTATAGGGTTACAAAGTTGTAAATATTTACTGGAGCAGAAAGTGTCATCTTCCTCTTGTGGAGCAGCTGGTAGTTTCAAACTGCTGACTTGCACTTAGCAGCCTGACACAATTAGTATCTCACATTGTTCTTATCCATCAATAAATGTAGGAAGCTCTGAGACAGAGTCATCTTATGGAATTTGCAGACACTTTTAGAAAGTAGTTTCAGCTCCTCTATCCTCTTCTTTATCTATTTTCTCTACTCTTGACTGGTTATAAACATCAAATTATGTGGTGGTGGTTATGTGCCATGGAGTCGTTTCCGACTCATAGAGACCCTGTACAAGGTTTTCGAAGCTGTAATCCTTAACAGGATCAGAACACTTCATCTTTCTCCCGCGGAACTGCTGGTAGTTTCGAACTGCTACCTTGAAGTTCTCAGCCCAATTCATAACCACTACGCTACCAGAGCTCCTTTAAATTATGAGGAAAAGCTATTTACTCAGGAGAATTATTGTTAATCACTTTTTGACATAAACTCAATAATAGAAAATATAGTGGTCAAATTTTATACCTAGAGCTAATTGGTGGAAATATCTAAGGGCTGTATTTTTAGTTGTTTCAACAAAAACAGAAATTTTAAGTAAACAAAGAACCCACACATTTTGAAATATAAATTACAAAACAACTTTTTAAATTTTCATGGCTAATATATGTGGCACATTAAAAACAATGAAAAGCAAAACAACTATAATTAAAACTTTTACAATAAAGTTAGAGACTTTGCATTTTATATTGTCCTTATCTATCTTGGCAAAAAACATTATAAGAAATCAATTCTTTTAAGACCAATAAAATACACAGAGGGACACAGACTGTAGCAAATTATATATTCCTGACTAATAAATATAACTAATTCATACCTCTGTTTTCTTCCTCTTTGTTGACGAGGTTGCTCCTCCTGAGGATATTTAAAAATGTCCTGGAAGATGGGTTCATATTTCTTAAAAACCACAGCAGAAACAGTGAAATTTCTTTCTAATCTCTCAGTACGTTCTCGAAAATGTAGGGGTAAATTTGCCATGTCTTCCCACTTCTTCATCTTGTTAAAAAACTCAATTAAGCTGATATTTAAGATAAAAAATGAGACAATTCATAATGAACATAAAGGATAAAGCACACAAATATAAAGGCAAAACTAAATTGCTTCATTATATTACTTTTTAGACAGTGCTATAAGAATCAACTGTGGGTTAATGCACCAGACTGCAAAGCTGTTTGAACTACAAGGTTGGCAGTTCAAACTCACTAGCTGCTCCCTGGAAACGCTATACAGGGTCGCTATGGGTCTGAATCAACTCAACGGCACTTAACCACAACATAAGAATCTAAGTCTATGCCTCTGTCTAGCATACTCTTTTAGAGATAATAAATTGGTTTGTTCATCGGAACATCCTATTTTACTTTTTTCTAGACTACCTGAATTTGTTTTTAATTACTATTTTAAACATACGAATTAACTAGAATAATGTAGCCAACATACATGTATCTAACTCCAGATTTAACAAATATTCACGTTTGATGAATTTTCCAACATTATGTCAGATTTTTCAAGAAATAAATACTACATAAACAACCAAAATACAATATTCTAATTTGTACTCTTCTGAGTCTCATTTCCCACACTTTCCCCCAAGGTACCCATCATTCAAAATTTAAGCTGAATCGTTTCCATCCATGTTTTAGTTATATGTGTGTGTGTGTAGACACAGACAGACAGACAGATAGGGAGAGGAAGAGAAAGTCAGTCCAGGTGCCTGGTGTGGTGCTGTGGGGGCTAATGCACTGGACTGCAAAGTCAGTTTGAACCACAAGGTCACAGGTTCAAGATCACCAGCTGCTTCTTGGAAACCCTATACAGGGTCACTATGGGTTGCAACCGACTCAACAGCACTTAACAACAACAATATATATATACACACACACACATAAACCCTAAACGTGTATACATGCATGTATATACATATACGTGTGTGTATACACACACACACATATATATACATACACCACAAAAACCCTAAACATGTGTATACATGCATGTATATACATATAC